AAATATTAGAACTCGCCGTGGCACCTCCAAGAAGGTTTCACGTTCACGCGTCGTATACCTGGAAACCTTTTAAGGTAAACTTAGAGGGAGGAGAGAGGAGATTTTATAATTTCATAGTTTTAAACCGCCTAAATACCTTAACTCGCTTAGAAAATAACGAGCTATAACGAAATGGGCACAGAAATAAAATCTAACATCATTAAATTATTTTTCCTATTTGTATAAAAGCGCGGGGTGAAACCCGCGGGTATAAGCTAGTATAGATATAAAATTAAAGGGGTTTAAGAAAGATGTGTGTAGGATATATTTTTGAGGAGCTCTGCCACCTATTTGGAAATTTAAACTCAGTTAAAATGATAAAATAAATGTAATATTGCAGTGTCGGTAACAATCTTTAAATTCTTAGGAAGGTTTACTGCCGAAAATATATTTGAGGAGGGTTGCTACCTGTTTGAAAATTTAACTGAATTTGCATAATTGACAAAACCAAATACTTATTAAAATATAGGTATTAAATTAAATTTGAGTTAGATGACTATTGCAAATATTTTTGAATAGAGTTGCCACCTTTTGGAAAATTTGAACTCGAAAGCTCAGTAAGTTGCACCCAATCTATTTTCAATATAAAGCGATAAAATAAATAAACCAACGAAAAATTAGTCCTTTGTCAAATATGTTTGATTTATAATTATTCATGTATGGATACAAATGTAAATCGGATACGGACGATGGGTGGTGGCTGATGGTCGTTCCTGGTTGAATACGCGAAAATAAGTACCGGCGGTCTGTTCAATAGAATTGAGTCAACCTCAAAGCAGTAACACTGTTTGGAGGGGAAGTTAAAAGATAGTTAATTTGGCGGGAAAAATTTATGACAGTTTCTAATAAATACTTGTGTACATGTGTGCGTACATATGTATATTATTAAGCATTAAGGTGGACCGTCTTGGATTGGTTAAATAAATGAAATATTGCAATGTGGATATCAAACTAAAGAGTTTTAAGAAGACATACAATCGAAAATATGTTTGAGGTGCAATATGGGTGGCAACGAAAGGTATTTGAAAAATCTTGATTAGGAAAAATTTGTAATAGCATTATCACCTATCTAAAAGTAAAGACTAAAAATATTGAAATTAAATAAAATTTTACATAACTGGTTCCAACCGAAAAATGTTTGGGAAAGCTTTACTATACACATTTTTTAAATCTTTCCACTAATCCAAAATTCGAACAGTTTAAATAAATATGGAATATACAACATCTTATCAAACGAGGAGATCATATTATCAACGATGAGCTGATACACAAATTACTTAATATAAAAGATTAATAAACAAGTAATTTTTAAGCAAAAAACACACCGGCTCCAATTCTTATATAAAAATTTAATAGTTCCGTTAATCCAATGACCAGATCTAAATCAAATTAGTATGGGATCACCTGGAAATCGGTTGACGTGGTCTAAAGTTATGCGGTAGCATACATAAAAAAAAATATTCCGACGAATTGATAACCTTCTCCTTTTTTTGAAGTCGGTTAAAAACTATTGAAACAAATAACAAAATGATAAGAGAGTAACGAAAACAAAAAACTATCCCATGAAAGCTATTTAAAAATACTTAATGAACACTTAAAATTGTTGGCACTATTCCCTAGCAACATAAATCAGTTAACCTTTAATCGTAAACAATTTCGTTAGGGGCCACCATAGCCTACTACGTACGTGCGAGTAAAGAAATTTTGAATAACATGAGATAATATTATTATGATTATGATTATCACTACTATTGTGAACTCCTATTCCCGATCAAAGATTCCCAAATTAAAGCGAAAGCAGAAGGTCATTTAAGATCGCATGCTGCAAATGTTAGAATAATAAGAGCTGCGGAACTGAACCGCTCAGTAACAATTTACTACAAGAGCATGCAATTATTGGCTTATGCCGATGACATCGAAATCATCGGTAACAAAAATCCTGAAGTCTGTTCTGCCTTTTTCAAGCTGGATAAGGAAGCAAAGCGAATAGACATGGTGGCAAACGAGGACACGACGAAGTAGTATCTCCTGTCATAAAATAAACAGTCAGCGCATTCGCGCCTTGGCACCCACGTCAGGCCTCTACGCGTTGGCAACGGGAAGTACCGTAGACGATGGAACGATGAGTTGTATGAGCTTTACATGGAGCCATGTCGTTCGAATAGGAACCGACGTTCCAGTTCTGAAAGTATCCAACTCGCGATCCGCTGGTGGTAGCAGAGGAAGAGAGATGCCCCAATGCTATGGAGAGACCAAGTGGGAAACGAATTGGCTTCACGTGGGATTTCCAATTAGTGTCAGTTGGCACAGAGAGAAACAACTGGCGTGCTTTGTCGAACTCGGCGAAATTCGCGTATGCGGTTAACAGCGCCAAATAAGAAGATGCAAATGATAAATTACAGAGTTGGGGGACCTTCCTCTTGGATGCGCCAGGAGGAACTAGGAAAACATTCGTTATCAGATGAATTCTGGCAACGATTCGATCAAAAATTATATTACCTTACTATTTCAATTCAAAGATTGCATTCGGCATTCGCTATCAATAATACTCAAGGTGAACCTTTGGAAAAATGTGGTTTACCGGCCATCTCCACATGCTTGAAAATCTCGCTTGCGTTCTGCTTTTTTCTCTCGCAAGCGAGATAGAGTTTGGTTGACTGGGCATTTGACAGCATACTTTTTTCATTTGTAAAATGTCGCCAAACAAGAAGGTTCAAGCCTTGCAGGCTCTTAAAAGTTTGAGAAAATTAGAAAATCTGCATAAAGACATGTATACTATTTTCAAATGAAAAATGGCTGCCTCTAAATTTATATTTGCCTTCAAAATAAACGATGTTGCTACTCTGAAGAATTCTGCGAAATGAGAACATAGCTGTCAAACAACAAAAATGACAGTTGAAAGCAAGCGAGAGCTCGCATACCGCTCGGTATGCGAGAAAAAGCATGCTTCGTACTTTTTGCGGTCTACACGTGCGGTTTCTCGCATGCGTCGTCACGCAAGCGAGATTTTCCAGCATGTGATGACCGCCGGTCAGATGTTGCGTGTTCCCATGTCGACAAACCGGATTTGGAAAACCGATAAATATTGTGTGCACACAAGTACTTATTACAAAATCAAACATATATGAAACGTATGCTTTGTTTCGTTAATCGCTTAACATCCATGTAACAAAAATATGCCACAGCAAAGCGTGGCAGGGTACAGCTAGTTATAAATAATTTCGAATACGTGGCAACTTTGTACAAATGTCTTATAATAATAATAATAATCCTAGAAACCTTTGGATATATATGTATATACATATTTACAAGAATTGATTGGTAAAGTAATGAGATACATACATACATATATGTAGTTTGAGAAATAAATCGTACGATTTTAATGCCTTAAAAACTTATTTGCAAATTTTTACTAGAACTTACCCTTAAGTAGAGAATTTTTTTCTAAATGTACTGACAACTATTTTCTCCCTGCAACTCTCTAAATTTTTATATTGAACCCCTCCTCCCCCACCGTCCCAGCCCCCCTCTTAACGTTGTCGGGCGTCTTGACTTTCCTATCACCCCCATTTACTCATTGAACACTTTTACAGAACACCCTGTACATGGAAAGAAAACAGGTACAGTACTGCAGCAGTATTTTCGGTTTATTTTTCGGAAGTAGTAAATATTTCCTATGGTCAGTGCACAGCAAACGAACCTTTTCAGCAGTTTTTTTTGTTTGTTTCCAAACTATGAACTGTCAAGCATAACACCCAAGCAAGAATCTCAGCGCCGTTGAGTGGTGTTACATAACTTTATGACTGTAGTGGAAACAAATAAAGCATTTAATTATTCAACGGAATTTTTTAACTCGATTGATCTTCCAGGGATTACCCAACATGAAAATAGGTGTGGAAATTATCATGTTGCGAAATATTATTCAGCCAAAACTCTGCAATGACAAGCGACGCGCAGTTAAAAAATTGGTGAACAAATAGTGAAAGCAAATAGTTTAACGTGGCCTTTCAAAGGTGAAGAATTCCCATGATTCCGACCGATACACCATTTCAATTTGAAAGATGGCAAATCCCAATTCGAATGGCATTCGGAATCACAATCAGTAATGCTCAAGGTCAACCTTTGGAAAAGTATGGTTTAGATTTAGATGCCTCTCACATGGACACATCTATGTTGCGTTTCAGCAAACAAGATAGCCTTGATATCTACCTAGAGAATGGAAAAATGAAAAATATTCTGTACCTACACACAAGTATTGCAATATCAAACTTATCTGAAACGAATGCTTTGTTTCGTTAATCATTTATCATTCATGTAACAGGAATATGACACTGCGAAGCTTGGCAGGATACAGCTAGTTATCTCATAATTTTGAGTAACTTTATTAAAAAAGATACGATCAGTAACATATTAATGTTGATTTAAATAAAATTATAGTTTAAAAAAACTAAAACCTCCCTATTATAATTGCCATTCGTACTGTCATTAGCAGGGAACGGATTTTTAGGACCTATAAACCTATAAAAAAGGCAAAATAAAATAACGAAATAGGCTGGAAAAGGCAAAATAAAATAGTGAAAAAGGCAGGAAAAGGCACTAGGTGTTGCAAAAAAGGCAAAAAAGGCAGAACGAAATAGCGGAAAAGGCAGGAAAAGGCACTAAAAAAAGACAGAAAATACGAAGAACAATCAAAAAATACATTTATTTTAGAAATGTTTATATTATAAGTAAAAAGAGAAAAACTATGAACTAGTTTCATTACATGAAAAATTTGTACTTTGAATCTTTGACTATTTTATCCTTTCGAGTTTCTAACTCATAAAAATTTAATCTGTATAGTTATAGTAACATTGAACCACAAGATGCATTTTTAAGTTTTCTGGCAGCATTTTCATTCGATTTTCGCGAAGAAAAGCCTTGAATGTACTAAATGTGTGCTCACGTAGGTTGATACAAGCGGCGCCCAATAAACATGGAACGTTTGAAACGTTCATATTATCAGGAATAAGGGCGTTTTCCTCTTTACAATTTTATCTACACCCCTTATTGTCTCCAAGCCTTCGTTAGCTGAGAAAACGGCATTTTTCCAACAACAATTTGGCAAGAGGTCTCTGCGCTTCTATAAGCCACATGGGCAATGTGTATATTTTTTAATCTTAAAAAAAAATTGTAAATGCTATAATCACTTTTTTAAAGGTAGAAAAGGCAAGAAAAGGCAAATATCTTAAAAAAGGCAAAAAAAAGGCAAATATCTTAAAACAGGCAAAAAAAGGCAACATCAAATGTGTATATATAGAATCAGGGAAAGCTAAATTGAGGACATTCTTAGTCGAATATGCTATATCTCGTTAGCAGAAAAAAAGGCAATTTCCACAAAATCCGTTCCCTGGTCATAAGGTATGTAACTTGAGAATAGAAATCGCTGCATCTTTTAGGCGCATCAATATTACATAGTTACATCCCGAGTTAATAAAAGGAAGGTAATAATAAAAATGAAAATAATCATGTTAAAATATCTGACATTTTGGTTGGAACGAAAGCTGAGATGTAAATGTTTTGTATTCGAAACATTTAATCCTAAATAAATGCTTTCATGGTTTTTTGTAATTGACATTTATTTGGTAGGTTGTAAACGATTTTGGTCGGATTTGGGAAGAAAATTGGTAGGGGAAAAAATTGGTAGTGGCAACGCTGATTGTGGTACACCAACTGTTCATGAGAATTCTTGTACAAAAATATATCCTTCTCATGATTCCAGAAAATTATAAAAAATAATAAAATATTATAAAATTATTAGCACCAATAGCTGACACTACGAAAATACAAATAAGCCACAATACTCGCTAGTGTAATTTTTTAATATTGTACGTTTGAAAAATTAACTAATAAGCATTCAAAATCTAAAAACAAAATACATTTTTAGAACAATAATGTGTAACGTGCAAATATATGATTTGACATAAAACATACGCTCCATAAATAGTAACTTTCATAAAGTGCACGCAATCCTTTCATCGAAAGAGGCCAAAATCCAATGCATACAATAATATCTTTTCAAATACAATATTTGACTGCAACTTTTTTTTATATATTTATTGGTTTCCCTACACAGAGTTCATTTGTGGTTGAATCGCTATTTTAAATGACTCGTTTTTTTTGAATAGGTGGTAACCATTAGCCGCTGAATCCACAATGCGCTTCGTTCTTTTAGTTGCAAGGGGAAACAATGTTGTCATCATTAGGCCATTTTAATAAAAAAAGTTTTATGGATATCTTAAAATTTGTTTTTGTTATATATGTCCTTTTAACAATTACATTCAACAATTTTTACTGAGCTTGAGGCCGTTTCTAATGAGGTAGAAGTCATAACTACTATCACCACATCTTCTCATCGGACTTCTTCACCGCTGTCACAGGGATAAGAACCATTATAAACAGCTTCAATCTCAATAAAAATTGTTCAGATCTTAAAATATGTTTTACTATTATTTTCTAAACCAACAGAGGGGGGAGGAGGGTGGTCGTGAACCCCAAAATCCAACCCCCGGCCCTCCCCCTCCCCTTTGCGGCAGGGCCTGATACAGAAAATATCTAGCTTTAATGTATATAGGTATGTAGGGCAATATGGTATTTTTGTTTTTCAAAAATCCGCGGAGCGTTCTTTTCTAGACCGGGACAACCTTTTTACCAAAAAGTTCATCGTTGATTGCTTACTCATTGATTGTGGCTTCCGCTTATCTGCAAAGTTTCTACCGCTTTCGCAATCAAATATGTGCGTCACAGCAGCAACGTGTCACAACTAACATATATTTAGATTTATCTCATCGTTTTTATGCCTCACAATTCTGATAACCATTTATTGGCTGCTATTGGCTACGTTTGGTTTTAAGAATTTTCTTCATATTGAGTATGGTATCAATTGGACTGCGGCCAAATTTCCTGCCACATAATTTTCCGTTGATCATTTTTTGGTTTTCCGCAATCAAATTGATGCACAAAAATCCTATAAAAAGAACTAAATAGACCATTTCCCTCAGGGTGCACAACACGCAGCGCGAATTTATGGCAGACCAAATGCTGCATGCTCGGTAAACCGGTTGACTTCATGGGCAATTGGAGTATTTCGAATTAAGCCCAAAATTACAGATTTGAGTTATCGTTGGTTGCAACGAAAAACTAAGCAGTAACAAAATAAGGCGATATACATACATAGTTTCTTTTGAGCTTCTCCCTCTACTCCATGTATGTATGTACATTAGGGTGGTCAAAAATGTATGAGAAAAAGTAAAGTCGGACTTTTATGCTCTCACCCCCTAGGAGGGTTCTAGTCTGAAAAAAGTATACCCCTGTTTTTTTATTTTGAAATCAAAAAATATTTAGAGGTCGCTTTAAGCGCTCAAAGTTTTCCATGTATTTTTATATAGGGAAAAAATAGCTTTCGTAGAAATGGTATAGAATTCTTAAAAATCAATATTTTTCGTAAAATCCTAGGGGGCGAGAGCATTACAATTACGACTTTACTGTTTTTGGACCACCCTAATGTACATACATATGGGCAAATAACTAGTCAACCGAAAACGGAAAAAATGCACGCAAGTCAAATCGTCGCATTTTTATATCAAAAATGGCATAGTAAAACATATACTACGTTCATATTTCTTTTCACACTTATTTCAGAATTTTTTTTTGCCCCTCTTACTTCTTGAAACAAAGCTCAGAATATCCATAGTTTAAAGCACTATACCTTTTAGCAAAATACCACAATATTGCTTTAAAAAAAATAATTTTATTCAAGGGTATAAAGAGTAACGTCCGCAACGTAACGTCCCGAAAGAACATATTCAATTATATTAAAGTTAATCAAACATTTCATTTATGTACTTTTATAATACATTTTGTTAACTTCATTATTTTTTCTTGAAAGTATTTTTGTAGATTGTGCCTCCATACATGGCAATTTGCAGAAATTTGTTGACTTTGATGGTCATATCAAAATCGCTTCGTTTT